TTTTTCCCCCTCCTACTTTCCCTATCGTATACCTTCCTGATGAACAGGCCCCTTACTAATCGGGTAGTTAAGACCAACCCCCAGCACCTTGCCCCACATACCACTAGTATGATCGAGCCACCTCACATGACCAGTGGCTACCTCATCCATGGATCCCAGGCAGATGAAGCTCTCAATCAGTGGTACCTGTGACCCAAGGTCACGCAGGCAGGGAATTAAATATTGACATCGAGGTTGCTCACACGAGCAGATATCATGCCACATTCTTGCCCCAACCACAGAAATGACCCCTGAAAATGGTGCAATAGGCAGCGAGCGGGAAAACCCCAACATCTTTCAGGTTTTTTTTTTCCTGCTCCCCCTCTTTTCCCCCTTCATTTCCCTACTTTTCACTCTTCATATGGGCTGATAGTTCCCTCTTTCTCTGATTCATTTTTAGGCATTTTTTTTTCATTCTTTCCCTTTGTTTTCTCTTTTACTGTACTTTTCTTAATTTCACCTCATCTCATGAGAAGAGGCCATTGTTATTCCAGTAGTCAGTGATATGTGCCACGTCTACCCAGTGGGCAAGGACCACACTCACTTCGATATACTAGACCAAAAACAAGTGGGAGACAGCACCAAACCTGCAGCTACTCTGCATGACAAGGATGCAGAACTCATAGCCCACACTCCTACCAGTTCTCCCCCTACTCAGAGCCAGGGAGAAGTGGCTCAGGGATGCTAACTGAGCACTCACAGCAGCAAGCCCACCACGTCTACCTGGATATATGAAAACACAGCCAAACAAAAACTTGGGGTGTAACAACAAACATCACCAGCAAATAAACACAACCCCCAAATGTCTCAGGCACAAAAGACAACTTCAAATCAAATCAAGACATAGGATAAGATGGCACGAGGAAGTGACCAAAATAAAGAACAAGGCAGTATCTTTGATGAAAAACAGATTAATAGGCTTATCAGATAAGGAATGACAAATACATATGGTTTTCTCAGATCTCAATGAAGTCACACAAAAAATTAAGGAAAGCAAAACAACACCCTAGAAAATAACACAAGAGAAAAATGATGAAATTAATAGACAATCAGGAACCATGCCATAAAGGAATTTAAAAATCCAAAAGTTAACACTAAAATTTCAAAGAGATCAGAAAGATAAAAAGAGTAGAATTAAATTAATCGAAGAACCAATTACTAAATTGGAAGACAAATCCCTTGGCACCAACTTTTATGAGGAAAAAAATCAGAAAAATAATAACATAAGGATTAAATTGGACAACGAGAAGCAATTTATTTGTAATCAGAATTCTACAACAGGAAGTAAAACACAAAACAAAACAAAACAAATCCACAGAGACCGTTGATGATGATGTGGTGGCTTAAAACTTCTGCAATAGCAAAAAAAACCTTCTGCAATAGCATAAAAAATAAAAACATACCCATCTATGAAACCCCTTAAAAGATGGGCCCTAAAAGAAAATCACTCAGATATATCATAATAAAACTTTCTAAAATCAAAGCTAAAGAAAGAATCTTGAGAACAGTTGAGAGAAAAATGAAATGTTTCCTCTAAATCAGTAAGATGAACCTGTGATTTTTTGGTATGAACCATGCAGGTAAGAAGCAATGGGATGATATGCATAAATAAAACTGTGGGGAAAATGCCAACCAAAAATTATATTCCTATCAAAACTATCCATAAACATAATGGTAAAATTAGGAAAGTTCTAGATAAATATAAAATTAAGGGACTCTGTGAATACTAGACCAGTATTATAAGAAGTGCTTAGGTTAGGACACATGACAACATGAAATGAACCCAGAAAAGTAATTTCAAAGAATAAAATACATCTAAAAAAACCTGAAAATAAGGAACCAGAGATGTCAACTTGTAAATGACAATAACAAGGCAAAAGGAGAATGAATCATAAATAACAGAATTCCAATTGGAAAGGAAGTTATGATATTTAGATATCAAGATACAGCAAATTGTTTTACACTTATGATGATAAAAATAAATAAACATAAGAAATTAATAAGAGACCTTCTAATAAAAAGAAAATCACAAATACTTAGTAAGCACAAGATTAACAACAACAAAGAAAAGGAAAAGAAACTCTGATAACAAAATGAACTCAATGAAGAAAAAGATAATAAAGAAATCATCAACACCACAATAAAAGCCACAAAAGAATGACTGTAACAAATTCATACCTAACATTAATCTCTGAATATAAATGAATTAAATGTTCCAGTCAAGAGAAAGAAAGTGGAGAATGGATAGAAAACAGGATCCACCAATATACTGCTGACAAGAACCCACCTTAAACAGAAAGATCAAATAAAAAAGCAAAGGGTGGAAAAGATATCAAGAAAAGGGCAGGAGTGGCAATATTAATTTCTGAAAAGAGATTTTAAGGCAAAAACGAACATATATTTCATATATATAGGTTATAGGCCATAAAGGAAGTGATAAAGAAGGGCATTATATAATTGCCAATGGACTAATTCAACAAAAGTATATAGCCATAATAAATACCTATGCACCCCATGAAAGATTTATTATGTATTCACTTACTTGAAGATGTTCAATTTTATTTTATTTCAAACTATTTTATTAGGACCTAATCCAGACATCATACCATTCCATAGTTCAATCCTTTCAAGCAGTGTTGTAAATCACTACAACAACCAGATTCAAAACATTTTCTTACTTCTTGTATTCCTTGATATTAGCTCCCCATTACTGCACCCCTACCTGCCTTACCGTATCCCGTGAACACCTCTTACTCTAGTCTAGTTAATGTCGCTATAGATTAATCCATTTTGGGTTTCATATACTAAAAAACACAGAAAAATACCTTACAGAGATTCAAGAAGGTTACCAACAATGACAGATACAACAGTGGTAAACCTGAGTATAAAAAACAAAACCCAACAAAACAGAAAATATTCAAAACCAGATCCAGCACAAAGTGTATCAAACGGGAGATCAGATAACAAGGTTTTAGCCATTAAAGTCAGATTTATCATTTTAATCTACTATAGTCATCTCTGCAATACTCTGTCTGATCGACAGGTTATTTCCAATTCTCCATTATGGTTAGAGGGAAATCAGAAAGAGATTTATTATAGAAATTATAATTCATACAATTGTGGAAGGACGCAGAGATACCAAGGCCCACAAGCGTCAATGCAGGACCAGAGAAAAAGCTACTAACCAGGCAAGTGCTGAAGTGGGATTGGGAAGGGCAACCTCATGAGAAGGTTCATGAAGAGATATTGCCTGTAGGGCAGCAGTCTGGTGGTATGCCAAGCCATGGCTGATTAGCCAAGCAACCATTGGGAAAACAGCTGAATTTGGAATAGTAGAGAATGAGGGCAAGCTAGGTACCTCTATGCATTTGTTACTATATCCAATTATAATAACCTTCATAGAACAATATCCACAGCCTTCCAAATCCGATGCAAATTTCTTTTATGACCAACTCCAACACAGAACTACAATTTTAGAACACAATGCTCAACTAAACGAATATAACACAGATGTAAACTTCTACAGTCAGTATTATATAAAGACACAGGATATGATATAAACAAATCAAACCAAAAATATTTTTTTACACTTGTGAATTATATTGTCCTCAGAGAAAAGAAAAAAATAAGTAAATATGCAAGATCTGGTACAATGTAAAATTCTACCTTAGAGAATTTATTCAGAAGAAATAATAAAATAAAAACTTACATAGAATATTATTATTTATATAAGCTGATGTTTAAAAGAAGAAAACACGACCCAAACTCCAGTTATAAGGCATGCTTAAGCAAACCATGATATTTCAGTATAATGAAATAGTAAACAGTATGTGAATGTGGGTCATATTAATACACAGAAACACATATAAGAAATCATCTTAAGGAAAAAGGAGGTCAAATTACATGTATCTGTTAATCACAATTATGTAAAATTATGTGACCCTATAATGACCAACATTTACAAAAAATGCCTAAGGTCATGATCATTTCTACATACTTGTTTACATGTTTAACAAAACTTGAAATTATAACTATGAAAATACTTTAGTTGTTTTCTCTGGGTACATACCTATTTGCATAGTCTTTAGGTAGGATAAATGATAACTCAGATCCAACATGGCTTTGTAAAATGGCATTTGGTACATAGTTATATATAAGACTGGCAATTTGTGTTGCTTCTTTACTGTGGGGCTCTTTCACGACAACCATATGATATCCTATACCTGTAAGAAATAACAGAAGAAAAAATATCACAGCTTTGTATTTCCAGTTTATGCGGCCTGAATTTACTAAAATGTCTATGTTTGTGTCAGGCCAGATTTTCCAGAAAAGAAGAAATGACTGCCAGCCACATAAATCCTGGCTGTAATAATATCTTTCCTTAATGGCGCTCCAAGAGTCTTGCTTCCTGTTTTCTCTGCTGGACATGGAAAATGAGCGGCTGTCACCTGGAAGAGGAAGAGTCCTCCTGACAATATAGGTGTGGTATTTTAGGACTGCTGGATGGCTCCGTACAGAACAGAGGCAACTCTCCTTCGGTATTGGACAAACATGTATCATTTCATTGTATCACTTTTCAGGGGTTAATGAAATCTGTGACTGGGGATCAAAGTCCAGAGGAAGTCCTCTGTGACCTGACTTCCCATTTGTTCCCCACATCTACGAAAGATGCACATTAATAAGTCACCCTTCTTTTCTTACTAAGCTCTTGCTTCCCTTTAACTCTGTTGCATCTTACGTGGTCGAATTCTTCCTTCCCTTTTATACTACCTTAGTTCTTTTCCAGGGCTCTGATGGCATACTGAGTTACACATTGGACTAGCAACTCCAAGGTCAGTGGGTTCAAATCCATTAGTTCCTCCATGGGAGAAAGATGAGGCAGTCTGCTCTTGTAAATATTTACAGCCATGGGAGACCACAATGACAGGCCTACTTTATCCTAGAGCAGGGATCAGCAAACTTTTCAGAAGGAAGAGCCAATTCTGCCCCTTACAACAATTTAAAAATTATTCAAGAGCCATGGATATATATTTTACAAACAAATGAAATCACCATTATCTGAATAATGTCCTTTAAAAGTTTTCAATTTTACTTCAGAGCCACAGGTACATACTGAAAGAGTCGCATAATGCTTGAGACCTGCAGTTTGCCGACCCTGTTCTTAGAGGGTCTATACGAGTTGTAATTGACTCAATTGCAGTAAATTAGTTCCTTTCTTTTCTCAGCCTGCGCTTCTTCTTGTCCCTGCTTTAAGCTAAACAATGAGCCCTTACTAAGGCTGTGCTTAAAAATATAGACCAATGAAGTCCATAGATATTAGGACTATAAGAAATGATTAATTCTGGGCAAATATTCTCAAACAATATGCTGCATGGGCAAATCTGCCTCAAAATACCTCTTTACATGTTAAAAGGTCAAGATGCCACTTTGAGAAGAAAGGGGCAACTGGGACACGTTATGGTATTCTTTTTTTTTCTCGTTATGGTATTCTTAATGCTCTCTCCTATGCATGCAAACGCTGGGCACTGGATAAGGAAGACTGAAGAATTTAAGTAGTTGAATTAAGGTGTTGGTGAAGCATATTGAAAGTCTCATGAGTGGCAAGAAGAACTAACAAAACAGTCTTGGAGGAAATAGAATGTTTCTTAAAAGAGAAGATGTACATGTGCAGGTGATCAGGAGGGACCAGTCTATAGAGAACGGCATCATGCTTGATAAAGAAGGTCCACCGGACAGTGATCATGAAGGGCCAAAGGGACCAGCCTTTAAACACCAAAGGCAGGGAGAAAAGTCATATCCTTGTCAATGAGGGTGGTGCGCGATGGAGACCCAATGTCCATCTCCAGACAACTGGACATACCTTGCAGAGGGGTAGTGGGGAGATGAGTC